TGATGGTGAGGATGACACAAACGCCATGACGGCGGTCGCCGTTCCTGCTTGAATCATGGTGTTTACTGACGTTGTCCGAATTGTTGTTATTTTTGCAACCGTTCTGTCAGCTTAGTTCCCAGAGAAATCCGCTGTTGAGAACTTTTTTGTTGTAGAATCCTCCTGGCTCGTGGTCCAAGCTGGCTGATGGACTTGATGTTTAAGGCTTCCGTTGCAGTCGCCCCCAGCCAAACCTGTCGAAGAAAAGAGTCTCTGGTAGGCCTTCGGGGGGTGCGAGCTCAGGCAATCTTGCTTTGACCTGCGACTGGGGCGTGGTGTCCGTGGACACGCTTGCTCCTCAAGCCTCAGCATTCTCACAAGTTAACGGTTGACCTCAGTGCTCGGTACCTACCAGGACAGACAATCGCAACGGCTTGCTGCTCGCTGTACAATAGCGGAAAGGAGAAGGGCACCATCAGCAGTTCTTACGTCATAGTCATCCCTAAACCCCAAACACTAATAGTGGCCGTCATGCAAAGATCAGAGTTAGGGCTTAGGGTTTAGGCATAGACAAGAAAGATGGCGAGACTTGAGCAGAACCGCCACCGATCCTGTCATGTCATTGCTGCGACAGAATGGCCACTTCAGTCAGGGCATCCTAGCGATGCTGGCGATGCTTTGTGCTTTGGATGCGGATCTCATGTGTATATATATATATATATTATGTTATATGTTATATATGTCTATTATATACAATGTGTCTATATACAGCGACGACAAGTGACCAAGACGGCAACAACGCCCATGATGACAACGAGAAGATGGTGATGGTGATGGTGATCGTCGTGATAAGGGCAGTAATGATGGCAACGAGGAGGAGGAGGAGTAGGAGGGGGCTTCAAGCCATACTTGGGACGAGTGTCGTCCTTCAGCCCTCCTACAGCTCAAGCGACCCGTATTCCAGCCAAGGTCAGCATGTGACGTCGTGTGCTTGCCGTCACGCCCTGGACAGGTCTGCCGTGGGGCCTATGGCATCCGGGGTTGTGGGAGTTCTGTCGCCGGGGTGTCGTTGCAGTCAGATGCAAGGTTTGTGTAGCTGCCTCTCCTGTGAGATAGTTCATGAGGTGTGGCATGTCTGTACCAGAAATCTCGCAACAGCATTATGAACGTTGGTACCCGATTTTACAAATTTAGTATTGTTGCCGCTATTGCGAATTGCGGGTCTCGCCGCTATGTTTGTGTGCAGTGACATTCTTCTTCGTCAGGCCTTCATTGCGGGCACCCCCGTCGATGTTGTGCCACCACAAGTGGCTCGGATGCTTAATAGGAATTGGCCACAACATGTGCACAGCCACCACTCCCTCTCGCCTGACCGACGAAGGGCTGCTCGCTAGGAAACGTTTGCAGGTGAGAGAGAACACCGTATCCATCATAACTACGCAAAATTGAAGTGACTTGAGCACAAAGCCGTTGGCCTTCGGAATTGAAGAAGGATATCCTGGACGGGCGCAACTTCTCCATCCCGTGCGTGGACCTGATGGCAGGGTACAATGGCAATGCCAGGTACTGAGACGGAATGTGGGTTCGTCTCACAACAGCTAGCAGCTAGTGGCCAGCGCCTGTTGATGTTAATAAATTAATAATAATAATAATAATAATAATAATAATAATGGCTTCCTGTCCATTGTCAAGGTCGTTGGCACATGCAGTGGAGGCTCCGTGAATGCGGATTCCAGCAATTGCGTGCTCCGAACTCAGCTTCAAGAACCCGAGACAAAGTTACAGTTGCGCAGGTTTCAACTGAATGGTTGGCCTGTTCTGAGCACAGCACTGGTCTGTATTTCTACCATAGTATGAAGTCGGACTGGACAATTTGCCTGCTGTGCCCCGGTTATTTGCTTCACAACAAACAACAAACCGCGCTGATTGTGCCGCATTGTGGCATGATCGTGGTGAAGAACGGACTGGCCAATGGGATATTGTGAAGCTGCACGCGATAGGTGCTGTTAGCGCCACGTGCACCGAACATAAGCCCGCAAGACTCAGGGGCATGCCCTGCGAAGCGGGAGAGGGCTTCACCATCACGCTGTACGACAAGACGGAACTGGTCAACTTGACAGCAGTCCAGTCCTTAGGAGCTACAGCTTTGATCCATGTTGATTCGTCTACCTACAGCATCACAGCAGAATTCAGGCCTGCTGTGGTAAATCGCTTAGTCGGTTGATGGTAAACACATGAGTGCAGAGTCCTTGAGGCGAGCGAGCCATGACTGCCATGATTACTTGTTAACATTTACTTGATGGGATCTTGGGTGTTTATCTGATGCTCATCTGCTTTTTGCAAGGTCTTGCCCGGAAGCAGTACAGTGAGTACAGATTTCAGGGAGTGGGATTTAAGAAGATAGCAGGGTACAGCGTTTCGCGTTTGCCGTCAGCCCGAATTGAGTAAGTTTGGGGTGTGGTACGTTTTGGTGCTCCTAGTGAGTACTCATGATGAAAAGATCGCGTGGATGGGTTGGCAGGCGAGATCCTTGAGCCAGAACCCTTGCCACAGGGCACCCCGCCAATTGGCACAGGAGCCCACCCACTTCCGGTTGTGGCACAGATGATACCCGGCCATGCACGATGACGAGTTTGAACGGCAGAAGAAGTACGTACGAACCAAAATGAGGCATCCAGATGAACTCATGACAATCGCAGTCACAGTTTCAGAATGTTTCAGACCAGCCGCCAGCACAGCAAAAGCACTGGTTCTGAGAACCACTCATCGGTGAATTACAGACAATACCGGACCCCGATGTTCCTGAGCATAAGTATAATTATTGTCATTACTTAATAGTGTCATTAAATAATATTCTCCTTCCTTGAGGGACCACCAGACCCCAGTGGGTTTTTCGGATCCGAGGACTTGGCCAGCGGCGCCAGTGCCACCTTTCCGTGCGCCTCAGTGAACTCCGACTATGTCGGGGGCCAACTCTTTGCGGATCATGGGCTCGTAACAACAAGAAGCCCCAAGATTCAAGAGTAAGCATGGGGAGTTTTACAGAAAGAAACCAAGGCAACCAAGGCTTGGATCCGAATCGGGAATCCTTGCAGCTTGCGGAGAAAATTGGAGTCCTGAAGAGCCCTAAGAGCATGAGAGTGACATTCAGCCCCTTGACTGCGCCGCAATAAAACCAGTAATAGACATTGTAATTGTAGCATTTCTTGTAACAGAAATAGTACTTATAGTAAAAAAATAGATATATAGTAATATGCAATCGTACAGTCTGGCACTTCGAGCTCTGAAACTTGGGGCTCGCCAGGGCCTTCCAATGGGCTCCCAAACCCAGGCAGGTGACATCTCCTTCCGTTGCCTGGCGGATGCCGTCTCCTCGGAGTGCAACAGACAAGGGCAAATAATTTTTGGGGCCTAAACAACTATCTATATCATTCTCGGGGGGTTCCGTCTTATAGATATAGTAGAATATACCCCAACACCCTATTCTAATTATCCAGGCCCCTATATTTATTGAGTTGGGGCCACTAGTGTGGTACTGGCTGGTTGTGTTTCACAGTTTGGTATCGGCTAGGACTCACGGTCGACACGGGCACTAGACGAACGCGATATCCACGAACAAGAGCTCGTGCACCTGTCCAGGTGTTGCGAAAGGACGTCAGCGGTTGCGTGTGCCAGGCGCATGGGCAAGCAACTGTTTAAATGATTAAGTAAGGGTGCGGCAGTCCGTTCCCAAAGTTTGCAAGCCTGCAGTGGCTGTGGCATGGGCTGGATCTGGCAGAGGCTGTAGGACTCCACCGCGCAGGACCAAGCGTGCAGCACTGCCCCATGCATGGCCACAGACACTTTCTTCGTCCAGCTGCCCTGCCCTCATCGAGCAGAGCTCTCTGGGTCCAGCGCCGCATCTGACAATACCAGCTTGGCTGTTCTGGCTCAGGACGGACACAGAGGCCTCTGTGGCCATCGGGGAACAGGCCAGGGCTCCTCAAGACAGCCGAGCTTCAGTGAATGCTAGTGGCTCAGTGCTCAAATCCTGAACCCGCCCAGAGCCCCCAAAACACCCTTCATTGTGGCCCAACTAGTAGGTAACTAGGCCCTCTTGCGGGAGCCTGGTGGTCATGGGCAACAAATGCCAATTTTGTGGAGTCTGCAGGTGAGCTCGCTGCAGACCGTATCCCGGACCTGCGAGTCGGCAAGGAGCACAGGATTCTCGTGGTTTCGCGGCTGATGTCCGCCTGGATGCTCCAAGACATCCCAAAGAACGAAACTTGGCTTCTTGGACCAAGGCCGCCCCCGGCCACGACGGCAGTTTCTCCGTCCTTTGCAGCGGAGGCAGGTAGACTGCACCAACTCGAGCAAAGATGCATAGAATTGATTTGAAGGATGTCTGCTGTGTCTGTCTGTTTGTCTGTCTGT